AAATGGGATGCCTGCACGCTCTCAGAGGCCGTGGCTCAGTGCCTGGTGCTCCGTTCTCATTGCAGTGTAGGAGGATTGGGACATGAGCGCGGTCTGTAACACTGGAAGCGATTCTTTAGTTTACCTACTTAATTTTTGCATGCCTGCAGTCACTTTCCATGCAAAATGATTAACTCAGGCACATAAACGTGACTGTAAAGCCAGCAGAGTTTATTTGGTCGCAGGGGCTGTGGTCCAGCTGCCTAGTGCATCGAGTGAGCCGGGCGGAGGGATCAGCTGTGGCCTGTGCCCATCCTGCATCGTTGTCCAGCCGGGAGCAGAACTGGTTGTTATGGCCGAGTTGAAACCCTCTGTTTGGTCGAGGGGTTACTTTGCCGGGGGTGAAAGCTACTGGTGAGGATATCCTTTTATCCTTTGTGTGTCTTCGTATCTATTTGTATGAGTGTTTATTTTCCTCCTAAAGCTTTTGTTTTGGAACTTGGCTTTGTTTGCTATTTCCTGGCTGTTTTTGTAATGCAGGGAAATGTTTGGGGGGGTTTTGTGTGTTTCTTTTAAGTTTAGACAATATTTTCACTTCAACCATTTATGCGTATATACAAACTCAATTAAAACCATTTTTTAGTTCAACATCTTCTAAATCACTTCTTTTCAATGTGGGAAAAGCAAGAAGAAATGACATGGGGCTGATCAGCCCCAAAGGAAGAGAGAAAAGGTAAAACTGACTATAAGCCAGATTGCAGACCAAATCAGTGTTTCCTACAGTAAGTGGCAGAGCCGACGCCAATTAGCTTGATTTAAAAAAAGAACCTTCAGCGTTTAATAATCCAATACATTACTAACACATGGCTCCAGGATTTATTAAAGCGTTTTTATTAGATGAGTGCCCTTTTAATATTGTCGTGCCTTGACACCATTGCCCTCTGCCGGAGGATGTGAAATCTCTTCCGCAATGTGGTATAGATCTTGTGCTTGCAGCGTGTCAAAATATATTTCTGGCAAAGAAAGTCTTTCCAAACTATGCAAAATACCTTTGCTTTTGAAATTTTTTTTCTTTTTAAAGAGTTGGCTTTTGAGTTGGCAATTTGTGTATTTTGCTTTCATTTCCAAACCTAAACATATTTTTTATATTTTCGGTGGTAGAAAACTGAGTTAGTTCTGTTTAATTAATTTATGTTTACATTTGTTCCCCTCCTCCTTTTCCCAGTGGAGGAGGAGACAGTAAAAAACTCAAATGGACCATCTGAACAAAGCCAGCTTTAGTTTTGAACTTTTTCGATGGGAAAAAGAGAGTGATATTATGATGGGGACAAGGGGAGAGTGAATGTCTTGAGGAAGAGTTTAATTTTTCCCCAGAATAGCTTCTAGCTAGCCTCAGGTCTGCCATAAACAGCAACAAAGAGCATTGTTCAGCTTTGATAGCAAGGGGCGAGCCTTCTGTTTTGGGCTGTGAAGCTGTGAATTCTGTCACAAGCAGTGTAAAATCTTAAGTGACCATGTATTTCTTAGCTGCTGCTGTTCATGGCAGAAAACGGATTTCATCTTTTGCGGTGTTAACATCTGACGTTGAGACAGGAGCGTGGCTTTGTTGTGCAGAGAACCAACGTCGCTCGCCGTTGATGCCCTCAATTGTATTAGCCTGTCGGGATGGCCTTGAAATACTTCATTTGGATCCAGATTTCACAGTGCTCACAGCAGCCCCAAGTGAATTCTTACGGTGTCCTTCAGTCAGGCTTCTCAGGGTCATCAATAAAATCAAATTGCTTCAGGAATTAACAGTGCGCAAAGTCTGTGCTGCAGAGCGGAGTATATGGCACGCTGTGGATGCTGACGGGCAGCTCAGGGTGCTGAGTGTGGGTCAGCAGTTGCGTTGCGGGTCACGCTGCAGTGTGGGCTCCACATGCACCCCCAGCTGACCATCGCCATCTGCGATTCAGATCCATATTCGGGTTGTGTCCCTGTGGGCATGTGGAGCGTGCTGCATAAGGAAGGGAACATTAATTATGGCCACTGCGCACAGGGTGTTCAGTTCACATCTGCAGCCCGGAATTGCCGATGGTGTAAAGGGAACTCAGCGTGTCAGGCGGCCCCAGGATGCCTGGGGAAGGAATTGTTCCCATGGCAGAAAGCGCAGACCCTGGGAGCTCTCTGCTGCCTCCCCCAGCAGAGCTGTAAAGCAGAGCTGACAGCTCTCTCTGCTGGGGCACGAGCAGGCTGTGTTGGCCCTTGGCAGCTGGAGCACCAAAGTGGCAGATGATTGACCGGGGAGCTGCTAAATGCTCTGATGCTCTGTAGCAAATTAAAAGGAATCGATGCTGAAGAGACCAATGCACAAATCATTGGAGTCTGCTCATTTTCCCTTGTGTTGATGGGACAGAAATCAGAGTAGCATCCCATCCCCAAGGTGCCAGTTCTCCATCGTACGAAGCCCAGCCTGTCTTCTGGGGAAGGATGCTGGCGATTTGAGTCTGGAGACAGGCAAGAGACAGGGAAAAGGCATCCTTAAGGGAAGAGCACTGGATTTGGAGGAAGCTGCCCTTGACAAACGGGGCATTTAATGCATGCCAGCCCACTGTGGCAGCCCACCAGCTGCTGTGAATTGACTCTGAGTGGCTCTTTTAGCACCATCCATTACTTGGTGCATTTGCAGCAAAGGTGCTTTACTAGGCACGGTGTTCAGCTCTTTCAGAGCTGCCCCTTTTGATTCTGCCCGACAGGGATACTCAAAGGGCATGTTTTGGCTTTATAAGGGGATTTGGAGAGGATGCCAGCGCTCGGTGCCCTCTGTTCAGGCACTGACAGCAACTGCAGGGACAGCAAGGATGAGGCCAGATGCTCTTTCCTGAGGGCACTGTGTGCTCTGGCAGTGCTAGACCAGCAGGATCTCTCTGGCCCTAAGAGCTGGGCTGGGATGGAGCAGAAGGTTGATGTTTACTGCAACAATTCCTCTTCTTCCTCCGTCATTCCTTTTGTCTGGATGAGGCTGCTTTCTCTAGTTCTGAAAAAATCCACATTGCCAGTAGGTACTTCCTTGAAAGTCTGCAGGGTGTCTGGCTGCACAGAACATGTTCTTGGGCTGTGGAAAGCCTTTTCCTGCTGGCACCCCTTAATGGAGGGAAGGAAATCTGGTTCCCAGTAGAACTGAATATGTTTGGTGGTTGATTTTGTTGTTGTTTCCTCTGGACCCTTCCAGGAGACTCCATCTCTTCATGCTCTCTAGCTGTACCTTGCCCTGCCCCGCCACAACGTCCTTCCACGCCACTGAGTCCTTACGTTGCCTAAATGCACTTTGCCAGTGCATTTAGTGATTGCGTCCTCTGACAAGGGTCTCTGAGTAAGGCCTCGCCTGTGTGTATGGTGCTGGAGGAGGGTGGGTGAACATGAGGAGGATGGGCCCCCACCTCTGTAGGTGCTGATATCGAGGTCTCTGGCACGGATTTTTGTGTGGGTGGTGGCAGGCCTCACCCTGGTGAGAGCCCTCTCGGTGGGGAACTGACTACCAGACCTGGCTTGAAATTTTCTCATGAGTGAGATTTTTGTTTAGCACAAAAGATGGATTCGCTGAAATTTTCCTTAAGGATTTGCATGTCCCTTTTAAGGACAGAGGCCAGTCTGTCCCTATTCCTTGTTTTTTCCTGGAAAATTAATACCTCTGTGATTAAAGTGCTAATTTGGAACAACCTGGTTCTGTAATTTGAATGTCACTTGCTTGTGCTTCAAAGGGACAGTCAATCGGTTCTTGGAGCCATTTCACTTCAATTCCCCCACTGGGGTCAGTGCCAGAGACTGACTGTGTAAGCCAGTGGTCAAGGCAGGATCAAGGGAAGTTCAGTTCTGTCTGCACTGGTCTAATCAGGGATTTGAACATGGATGTCTCCATGGCTGCCCTGCACAACCAAGAAAAAGAAGGCTTCAAGGGTCTCAGAAAAAGCATGTGCAACACAGCCGCTGTACACATCATAACTACCCAAGGCTACCCCCCAGGCTTGAGGAGCTCCCCTCTGATTTAAGAGGAGGAAACCAGTGTTTTCCAGAGTGCTGTAGTGAAGGTGAATGACCAGCCAATGCCTGCTCTGTCAGGCAGTGTCGTGTGGGAGAGCAGTGCTTTTCTTGATGTCCCACAGCAGTCTTCTCTGCCTTTAGCTGCCGTATTCCCTGGATTCTCTCATGTCTGCAATGCAGTGCTTTAAGCAGCAGGCTAATGCGTTCCCCCACATGAGAACAGTGCTGCTAAACTGCTACCCATGTTTGCAAACTGTCTACCGTGCATGCCCCTGCTAAGTGATGTACATTCCTTGCCAAGATACTTGAATAAAATACAGTCTGTTTAAATCTTGTATGTGCTTGTATTGAATCAAACTAAGCCATTGTGGCAATTTAATATACTCCAGTTGCAACTCGTCTGAGTTAGAAGAAATGAATCTGAACAGGCCATTGGAAGCCTGAGTTGAAACTTGCTGCATCAAAAGTGCTATCAGGATGGTCAGAGCGGGGGGGTTACAGTGATGGGCAAAACACAGAGGCACTAACTTTACTGGAGCCAGATCCCCAAGAGCAGAGGAGCAGTCTCTCCTCTGGTTGCAAAGTGCTTTGTCTGCAGGAAGGAGAGGGTCTAGTGGTCAGAGCAAGCCCAGAGCACTTGCCGATGTGTCAGATGAGTAATGTGGTCTCCATTTCTTCCTAGGGGCTTAGGTGTAGCACGTGGCATTATAAGCCTTGACTGGCTTGCGGATGCTTTGAGGATGAAGGGACCTGTTCTGCTGAGGGATGGTTCAGACACCGTGGCGCTGAGCAACTTTTGCTTGGCTGAAGCAAAGGCCTTGCTTGGCAAGTGGATGCAAGGGAAAGCAAGGCCCAGGACACTGAGGCGGTGTCTCTTCTGGAGGGCCAGGAGGCACCTCTGTAGCTCACTGCTGCTGTTTGGCTTGCTCTTTTTGAGGAGGGTTTATGGAGCAACTCGCTAGTACTTTTCTCTGCTTATTTGCCTTTGCTTTGTGTTGCAGGCTTCCTTCCAAATGGGTCCCTAAGGCTCCTGCTGGCAACGCCAGCAGCGTCCTGTAAAAGTGCCCTCCTGCTCCTGGTCCCAAGAGCCGAGGCTGCTCCAAACCTGCTTCTGCAATGGGTGGGTTGTAAGCACTGGTAAGACCTACGAGTCGTGTCACCTTCACTGCTCTCTCCCTCTCTCGCGTTCTCTCTCTCTGTCCTTGTTCCTTCTTGCCCATTTATTTCTTTTCTCCATGTGCTCTGCTGTTCTGTCTCTGGGGTTTTCACTGTCAGGTAATGAGGAGCTGTGGGTCCAGTCAGTCTTGGAGATGCCGAAGAGACGAGACATCCTGGCTATCGTGCTGATAGTTCTGCCCTGGACACTACTAATCACCGTCTGGCACCAGAGCACCATTGCTCCACTGCTTGCAGTGCACAAGGGTGAGAGAAACCAAATCAGCCCATGCCAAATCTGTGCATCCCTCCCTCGTCCTCATCTCCTCTCTCATTTCATTTCTCCATGGCAGCCATGCTCATCTCAGCTCCCAGCCCATGCTCATGCAGAAGCCTCCCCACTTCTGCTGTAGGAACAGCCCAGTGCTTATAGGGGTTCTTCAGAGATGTCAGCCTCCGAGCCATGGGACGTGGTCACTGCACTCTTCAGGGCCGAAATCCAGCATCAGTGGGAGCGAGCACTGAAGGAAGATGCTTTTCTTTGTTCCCTGGCAATCCATAAGAGAGAAGTCCCTTTCCGCTGGCTTTAGCAATGTGCTGCACAGAAGTTAGTCCAGCAGGAAGGCTGCAATAAAGAGAGGAGAGAAAGCAAAGCTGCTACTTAAGACAGTCCCTCTGGGAGAAACAAGGCTAAGAGCATTTCTCAAGCGTCTGCAGGAGAGCAGCAAACTGGTTCTCTTGGGCTTGAAGGGGTAGTAAGCACCAGCTTACTGGTGCTTGATGGTTTGGAGTTAAAATGCTAGGAGAGAGTCAGCTTCCACCATATCTGTTGCACAAAGTGTTAAATAGAGCTCTGGCCCATATCAGATGAATGCAGGAAGTGCTGGAGGATCCTCTCTGGCCAAAAGGGTCCTAGTTTTTATCCAGTCCTTGGCATAGCAGCAACATCCAAGGGCTTGGCAGTGGGAAGAAGCCATGCTGCCTGCTGCACTCTTTGTTCTTGGTTTTGCCCTTCTGCTGGGCACCAGGGCAAGCGGTTCAGCCCAAGGAGGATTGTCTTTTGGGAAGAAGGCCAGTTCATTTCCTCTCTCTGGGCCCTTTTCATGGGAGACTCTCTCCCCTTTTCCTTTTAATGTTCACATTCTTCCACCATTGCTTCTCCTTTCACTAAACAATCTGATGTGCGTTTTAAATTGTTGGAAGCTCAGAGTCTGTCCTGAGCAGTTTTACCTTTCCCCCTGGAGGTCTCTTAACTGACAGTCATTCACAAGGTTTTCAGCAGCTCTTAAGGGAAAGGTGATAGTGATCCCCTCTGGAAGCTGGACAGTGTTTCAGACGGTGAGGGATCCACTGGCCTCCAAAATAGGGCTTGAAAGACTACTAAGAATATGCTGTCAAAAAGGTCAGGTGTGTCCAGTGATTTAACTCAATGTCCTGAAAACTAGAAGCTGTTTTTGTGAATGACCCTGGACTTTGAAGTTACAGCACAGAGACTGCTCTGCTCTGGCACATTCCTGAACTTGCTGATGACCGTGGTAAGACTTCCTTGGCCTGTGCCTCCGTGAGCCCTCGGTGGAAAACAAGTGCTGATAGAGACCGGCCTGAGAGCTCTTGGGAGACATGGTTTTGTGCCGCTAATGCATTTCTGAGATTCTCTGATAGCAGGCACTGAAAAAGAGATGTGCATCTATACAGTAGCGAGCACAGTGGCAGCGGTTACACGTGCCGGGATTTACAGCTGAGGGCTGGACCTGCAGGGGATTGCAAACAACCTCAGACGTCCCAGTCAAGCACCATCCTGGCTAATTACATTTGTGTCTGTGTCCAATGCATTTCACAGTTTTATTTTTGCTTTGATTCCAGTGTCTGGTGCTTTCAGAGAGCTGTGCTGTGTAATGCAGATGTGCTTTATCTTATATAGAGCCTGATCCCAACATTTGCAGGACAACTTGTTCCCCACCCTCCCTCCTAATGTGCCATGGAGTCTGGGGCCTTCCTTCAGTTGGGTGCTGCTGTCACTGTCTGTGCTGCTGGAAGAATAACATGCTATGAAAAAGACATAGGAAGTACCGTGCTGGTCAGAGCTAATGTCTGTCTGCTCTGTTTTTTGTCTCATTAGAAGCTCCTCGTAGTAGCTGGTTTTGCAAAATTCAAGACTCAAAGTATTGCGTGCCCACTAGAGAGCAGCTGCCTTATACCCTGGAACAGTGGTGCCCCTTTATCACTGCCAGTCCC